AAAAATTGCAATTATTCAAATATGTGCGTTATTGATCGTCCTGTACGATCCTAGTTGTAACTACTGTTGTGTACGAACTAAATGCTTTTCTTAATTGCATGATCAATTTGGGCATAATTGTATCAAATCGTCCAGGAGGATACACGATCGTCCTGGCCGATTTCTAAAAATAAAGAATGCCTAAATAGATCATGGCGGCTGATTCTTTCTGTTTTGAGTCTATCGTCTAGGCCGATCTACTAATGACGGATGCCTTAACAATATGTCCTGATTAGAATTTTTATTTTGAACCTGATCGTCCGGGATGATGTGAGTAAAAATAGAAATTCTAAATCAGATAGAAAAATCACTCAAGTGTGTGTGTGTAGGGTTACTTAGCATCAGAACACTTTAATAGTTATAATTGACTCAAGAAAGGGAAAAAGAAAATTACAGACTAACTCAGATCTAGTCTACCCAATCTTGAGCTGGTTTTGATTTCAGTTCGATCTTGTGGCCCTAAAATGTCAGTAGAAAAGGCAGTCGTAGAGAAAAAAGAGTGTTTACTAGCATCAAAATCATAATCCATGTACAACATATTTGCAACAGAAATAAACTTGGCCTTATACTACAAAGCCAGCAAGGAGTTAGAGGTGTATAACCTCCAAATGAAGGAGCAGTCAAAGCCAAATCGAATAGAATCAAGACCTCGCAAACCCAGTCAATCATGAGATTTAAGTAAACAACTATTTTTCCATACCACAAGGTGCAACTTTCTACCTTCCACATAGCCATGAAAAAGAAATCTATAACATAATTTATCAAAAGACTTATGAATCGCTTTAGGTAATACAGTCCCTCTAATCTAGTAAGCAATAGTATTCGTAATAGTGAACTTAATGTACTAGATTCTACCTGCAAAAGAAGAATTTAACTTTCCAACCAACAAGTATAGTAGAAAGCCTACTCAGTAGTGGTTGAATGTGAGCAATTTTTAGTTTTTTAGAGGAGATAGGGAAGCCAAGGTATGTGAGGGATTCCTCAACCAGAGAGAAGCCCAGCAAAGTGGTAATATCATTAGCTAAATGAGTATGCTTAGAGAAGATAATGGAGCATTTGGCATTATTAATAGTAAGTCCCATGTGTTCAACAAATTTGGAAACAAAAACTCTAAGCTTGTCAGCATTGGGGATGGTGGCTTTTCCAAAGATAAGGATATCATCAGCATATAGAAGGTGATTCACAGAGATATTGCCACTAGAGATACCAACAAAGTTACTATTGTCTAGCTTACATGAAAAAGCATCCATCACCACCGAGAAAAGCAGGGGAGATAAAGGGCATCCTTGCCTAAGGCCAGAACAGGAAGAGAAGAAGCCTTCTAAAACTCCATTAATACAAACAGAGAAATAAACATCATCAATGCACCCCTTAATCCAACTGACAAACAAAGGGGGAAAACCTTTCATAAGAAGCCTGCTTAAAAGAAAATCCCTAGAAACCAAATCAAAAGCTTTACTGATATCTAATTTGGCACAAAAGAATTTCTTCTTAGGATTACCATTAAATTTACTAAGAATATCAGAAGCAAGCACAGTGTTATTAATATAAATCCTTTGCTTAATAAAACATGTTTGACTATTATAAATAATGAAGGGCAAGACCTCCTTCATACGATTAGCAATAATTTTTGCAATAATCTTATAAAACACATTGCAAAGTGAAATGGGTTGGTAATCAAATAAGGAGGAGGCATGAATACCCTTGGGGATGAGGGCAATAGCAGTAGCCTTGGCACATTTAGGAAGGGATCCCAGCAAAAACAAGTGCTTGATGGCCCTACAAACATGGCCACCAATAATATCCCAAGAGGCTTTATAAAACTCAAAAGAAAACCCATCAGGGCCGAGTGTAGAGTTTGAGAGACCAGCAAACACCACATCCTTAATCTCCTTATCAGTCACAGGAGTGATAAGAGAGGCAATGAGGGGAGGGGGGGGGGGGGGGGGGGGGGGGGGGGGGGTGTGGAATGGTAAGGCAATAGGAAAAAAGGCGGCCGAGGGGTTAGAGGGCATAAGTGCATTATACAAGTTTTGAAAATAATAAACAATAGCTTTAGCAATGTCTTCATGAGAGGTCAAAATACCAACATCAGAGTGGAGCTCATTAATTTGGTTGGTATTATTTCTAGAGTTAATCCTAGCATATAAAAACTCCAGATCATCTTCTCCCTTAGAGAGCCAATTTGCCTTAGCACGTTGAATCACCCACATAATTCAAGCACTATACAGGGAATAAAGAGAGGAATTAATATATTTCAAGGTAGAATTAAGGTTGGGATCTAAAGGCCTCTCTTGAATCTGGGAAATACAGTTATGTTGCAATCTCTGAAGCTTAGTGATGCTGCTATAAATGAATGAAGAATTAGACCAATTCTTCAACTTGATATAGCCTTTTAAATCCTTCAGCTTAGAGTGAAAAGCAGAAATGGGGCTTCCAATGTGATGAGAAGCAAAGATAGATAGCAGGTCATCCCAAAAATCTCTCAACTTAACCAAATAATTTTGAAACTGAAATCTAACATAACGTTTACAGGAAGCACCCGGGAGGAGAACTAGGGGAGAGTGGTCAGAGCAAAAAGGGGGCTCCACTCTATAAAAAGACAGGGAAAAGATCCAGCCAAGCAGAATTGACAAGAATCCTATCTAGCTTAATGTGTATAGGGCCAACAACCCTTTGGTTAAACCACATGTAAAACAGACTAGTAGAAGGGAGATCAGACACCCCAGAGCTAAAAATCCAACCATTAAGTTCTTCCAACCGATTGTGGTGTTAAAGGCTTTCTCCCGGATTTTTCTTCAACTCCTCTACAGCAGTTAAAATCCCCAAAAATGGCCCAAGGGGAGGTGATAACAATAGCAAGGTTAGTCAGTTGTTTCCATAAAGAAGCTCTTTCAGCCTGAGAATTGGTGGCATAAATAACAGAAATCGGGATGGGAAGCATATTACCATAACAGATGGTCCCGTGAATAAGCTGCGAGGTGATAAGTAAGGGAGAGAAAGTAATAGCCTAGGGATTTCATTTAATCCAAATCCTTCCAAGGTTGGAGCAATTAAAATTGTCACAAGAGAGTTCATTCGAAAAAACTTTGTGAGTATTAATAAACCACGGGTCCAAAGCCGAGTCAAGAGGAACTTTAGCCTCTAAAATACAAATCATATCCAAACAAAAAGAAGAAACCAACTTCTTACAAGCTAGAACTTTATCAGGCAAGTTAAATCCCCTAACGTTCCAACAACTAATCGGTCTGAGGGTCATTTGGATTTAGAGTGAGAGGAGCGCATTTTCTTAGCACTCTTACCATTGGGTCCATTATCAATCGTGGGTTTCTCCTTAGGGATAGAAGAGGAAGAAGCCGGAGGGTCAGTGCTATGGGAAGAAGCCAGAGGTTAATCCGGGGGCTCTTCCGGTTGAAGGTTGGCAAACAGATTTGGCGAAGAAACTGGAGGGTCACTAGGTAAAAAGACTTTTACCTGAACAACAGGAGCAAAAGAGGAGGTACAGATGGGGGAAGAAGTGCCAGGAGAAGAATGGGAAATATTGGGAGAGTTATCCGAAGAAGAGAAATCTTCAGTAGGGAGTTCAAATTAGGAATAGGATCCTTGGGTAATTGTGGGCTAGGGGGATGAGGAGGTTGATTGCTTAAAATTCCTGAAATAATAGTAGAAGTCAGATCAGGAAGTTGATCTGTAGGAGGAATTGTAGGCGCTGAGGGGGGAAGAATAGGAGGGGGAAGGGAAGGAGGGATTATGGGCTGGTTGGTTGGGGGAAGAGGCGGTTTATCTGTTTGAGGAATGGTAGGCGCTGAAGGGGGAAAATGGAGGGGTCAGGGAAGGAGGGATTATGGGTTGGTTGGTTGGGGGAAGAGGCGGTTTGTGGGTAGGGGGTCGGGAAAAGCGATGCCTGGAAGAGCTTTTACCTCGCGGTGGAGCCGGAGGGGGTTTAGGTTGAGGATTGATATGGCAAAGAGAAGATGGGTGAACGATAGAGCCGCAACTAGAACACGAGATAGGCTTCCAGTCATACAAGACTTTCAAATAAACATCATCGCCATCCAGCGAGATGGGGATTTCATCAGGAAGGGCCGAATTGCTTGAGACCAAGGCACATACTCTAGCAAAGTTTAACCTGGTTTTCCGGGCAGTAAGGGCGTCAACAGCCAGAGGGTGGCCAACAAAACTCGCGATTTTGGAGATACCCAAGGGATTCCAAATAACTAACGGCAAATCAACAATTTTAATCCATATAGGGATAGATGAGAACTCATCTCGTTTGAGTTTGAATTTGGGTGTCCACTTCTGAAGGATGAAGGGCCTGTCAAAGAAGAACCAAGGAGCACCAGACCAAGCAACCTTGTAATCCTCCGGAGAGGAAAACTTGAACAGGAAAAATCCGTCATAAACAAGAGGAGCTCTACCTCTCCTTTCAGGTTCCAAGCTTTTTTAACAGAGTTGAGAAGGCTCATGTATGTCGGCCGTGGACCAATCAAGTAACCAACTAAGGAGAAGCTCCAGTCAGGAACGCTAAGAGCAAGGTCATCAACAGAAAATGGAATCTTCGTTGCAAGGGGAAACAAAAGATAGAGAGAAAACACTAGCAACCAAATCTTCTTTAGTAAGGTTTGAAACAAAGTTCAAACCAACCGGGGCCCCAGGAGCCAGAGCAAGGGGGCTAGGTAGGGGGGAAAAATCAGCTAGATAGGGGGAGGAAGAAGCCATTGGATGAGAGGAGGGGAAAAACCCCTCCCCGAATGACGACGAGAAGGAGAAGGAGAAAAGAAATGACGGGAGAAGCTAGGGGAAGCAAATCCAAGCAGAGCTCATTTTTCCCCTGTAATACAGGTTTTACTCCATATGACATGACATAAAGAAGGACGTTAGACAAATGATGATATGAATATCTATTTTTTTAATGCTATCTATTTATTATTATGTTTATTTTAGCCTAATATATATATTTTTCAACAGTCGCTACTCGAGAAGAAGCAAACGCGGCGTCAGCTCGAGTCTTCCACTCCACACCCTTTCCTTTCTCCGTAAGCAATCCTATCCGTCCATCTTACAATCGATCTCATCAAAGCCTCACTCTCTGTTCTTGCATGCCTCGAATCTCCCTCCCGCCCTAATCTTCCGTGCCGCAGATGACTCCCGCTTCTCCGGCGCTTTCCCCGCCGCCACCAGCCTCCACTGGTGACACCCTCGACCTCATTCTACACCACCTCCTACCTGTTCTTCTCGTCGCCGCACTCTCTGCCAAGTCTCTCGTCGGCCGGTGGCGCCTTGTCCACTCTAAGCTCTCCATACTCCTCTCCTCTCTCTCCGCAGCCGCCTCCGCCTCGCCCTACTCTTCAGGAAATCCTCTTTTCACCGATCTTCTCCCGAATCTCCTCACCACTCTCCGATCACTCGAACCCCTTTCCACACGCTGCCTCGATCCAACTCTTCCCAGTGGAAAGCTACATCTCCAGAGTGACCTCGATATCGCCACCGCTTCCCTCGGCCTCCATCTCCACGACCTCGAGCTCCTACTCCGATCCGGTCTTCTCAACCAAGCTAACCCCCATTCCACTGCCATTGTACTTTCCCTTCCGTCCGCTTCCGCTTCCCGTGCCGATCTTTCCCTCTACGTTCGTGACCTCTTTGCCCGCCTCCAGATCGGTACGATAGATCTCAAGATCAAAGCACTCGACTCGCTTCAACAGTTCCTCGCATCCGACCCCCCCAAGATCGCTCCCGTCGTCGCTCAAGAGGGCGATCTTGCCTTTCTCATCCGGCTTCTCGACCCATCCTCTCACTCTCTGATCCGTGATTCCGCTGCCGCCGCTGTCTCCCTTCTCGCAACAGCCTCTGCCTCCTCTCGCCGCAGCCTCTTCGATGAGGGCGCCCTCGGTCCTCTTCTCCGCCTCCTCGATACCGGATCCTTAGCCGTAAAGGAGAAGGCCGTGGTCGCCGTCGAAGCCATCGCTGCCGATGCCACCAATGCCTGGGCTGTTGCCGCCTATGGCGGCGTCTCCATTCTTATCAACGCCTGCCGCCCCGGCAGTGGATCGCCCGCCATCCAATCTCTCGCAGCTGCATCCTTGAACTACATTTCTGCCATCGATGAGCTCAGAGCCTCCATGGCAGAAGAAGGCGCCGTCCCTATTCTGATCGATCTCCTCGCATCAGGCGTGCCTTTATCATCGAAGAACGCTGCTCTTTGCCTCTGGTCCCTGGCCTCCTTCGGCGGGGAACCGATTAGGGTTTCCATAATCGAAGAAGGGGGTTTGCGGAATCTGCTTCAACTGCTTCACGATTACTCTTTGTCTGCAGATCCGGATATATCGGAGCACACCCTGCGCGCGATTCATGCTCTCTCCTTCTCCGCTGCCGCGGCCAAAACCTTATCGTCTTCTCCTGGGTTTTTCGTGTTGTTGACGGATCTAATAAGGCGCAGCAGTGCCGCCACTCAGCTCGCTGCTGCTGCAGTTCTTTCAAACCTTTCGCCCTCAGATGAGCTAAAACGTTCTATGGCCCCGAGCATGGTTGCCCTGGTTAAGATGCTCGAATCGTCAAAGCCCGAGAGCGCGCAGGAGATGGCTGCCCGCGCGCTAGTCTCACTCCTCTCCGTTCATTCCAATCGGAAGGAGCTCGCGCGAGACGAGAAGAGCGTGATGCGGCTCGTACAGATGCTGGATCCCGGGCGGGAAGAGGTATGCAAGAAATTCCCTGTCTCCGTTGTTCTTGCCCTCGCCGCCGGTGGTGGTGGGGGCTGCCGCCGGCGACTAGGCGATGCAGGTGTCTCCTCTCAGCTTCAGAAGCTCGCTGATGCCGATGTCCCTGGCGCCCGGAAAGCCCTGCATCGAATCGCCGGGGGCCGTTTCAAGAATCTCTTCTCTTTTGTCCGCCGGGAGTGATCGTTTTCCGCCCGCAGCCGCTGCCGGTGTTCACTCTCCCTCCACCAGGTAATTTACCGAGTTCCAATTTTCACTTACGAGCAACTAATCAAATAAATAAAAAAAAAAACTAAAAAATTTGGATTATGATAAAAAACTGACACGGAACATTTCTATCTTGTAAAATAATCGTATTTTTATTATATTTAGTTCTTTTAATAAAAAGAACCTGTTTTACATTTAAATAGTTTAAAGAATATAGCAACAAAAAGATTTAAAGAGAAAACTTAATTATTCGGTTTTTATTTTGGTCGTTATTTTGAATGAAATCGGCACTAGAAATTATGATTTCTTAATAAAGGGTATTTAAAAAATTATGTCAACATTGCATTTGGCATTATTATAAAAAAATAAATAAAATTATGTTTTTAATTTTATAAACTCATTGCATATCAATCAATTAATTGATAATGTTTTAAATTTTTTTCTTATATTTTATTTGAACTAAATATAAAAATTGATTTTGTTTTAAAAAATAAAATAAAATATTTTTTTCTATTTTTTTATTTACACTATTTTGCTTATTTTTTATTTATAATTTATTAGTATATTTTTGAAATTAACCCCATCGGGCTAAGGTGGGTTGGTGGGCGTGCTTGGTTGGGAACCCCCATCCCAAGTTCGAAACCCCCTCATACGGCACGACTCCTTAAGTGGAGAGAAAAGAATTGTGGGGGGTCCTGCACCTGTGGGGTTAGTTGCTCATAAGATTCGTCCGGGATTAGTGGACATCGCAAGCGCCGTCACAAGCTGTGATGTGGTAGGCGGGCCGATACCCCCGTTTCCTAAAAAAAAGAAAAAAAATGAATTTAAATTAAATTTATTAAATATTTAGAAATATAATATTATAAAAGAAATTAAATTTATATTTTTCTTAAATAAAATAATAGTTAGAATAATGAAAAATAAATGAAATGTATTTAATTAAAAAATAATGAATAAAAATTTAAATTTAATTTTAAAAATACATTAAAGTTCTTATTAAAAAATTAGCAAATCAGTGTAAACTAAAAAGAAAACAACTCAATTAATTTTATTTAATTTTTTAAAACATAATCAATTTTTACATGTTATATAAGAAAAAAGCCAGGGATAATCAATTAATTAATATGCAATGTGTTTTTACATAGGAAGTTTGATTTTTCTCAAATCAGAAAGTAAAAAAATAAAATAAAATTAAGAGTTTATAGAAAAAAGTAAGAATTTATAGAAATTGAGGATGTAAAATTAGATTTTCAGTCAAAGTAGAAATTGGATAATGAAATTTCTGTTTCTATTGAAATCAGATAATTAAGTTGAGTGTTTATTTTCATTTTTATTTCTTTGAACTTATTTTTCAAAGCTAATATAAATTTAGAACCTGCTCTTTTTTATAAAATGCTTTGATATTTATGTTACATAAAATTTAAATTACAAAACAATAAAACTATCTTTTAAAAAAAAAATGACAAAATGTTAATATATCTATATATAATTAATAAATAAATATTAAAATAATTCCATCATTTTTAAGGGACTAAAACTTAATTAGGATATTGCTTCCTAAATTTTTATTGAGTTTTAAAATAATTAAGATATTTATTGTAAAAATGTTATTAGGATGGATTTAATAATCATATGTTAGTATTTTATATTAAAATTTTATATTGCATTAATTTAAATATATTCGATAATTATCTAAGTCATTCTGAGATAATTTGTATTAAGATGTGATGGCATACTTTTTTTTTAAATGTAGCAGAATGATAAAATAATAAGATATGTAAAAATTATTATTAGTTAAATTTCTGATATCATTTTGTGGAAAATTGAATTAGAATATTTTAAAAAAATTGTTTCAGGATATTACGATGGATTAAATTTATTTTGAGATTGACATTATAAATAAAAATTTTATATAATACTTTTTATTTTTTAAAATTTATTGAGGGATATTACACAATTTATTCGTTTCAGACTTGCAGGTAGAAATGGTGGGGGCTGTTGTGGCAAATTATCGTGACAAAACTATCTTATTTTAAGGGGAGAAAATATAGATTGATAATAGATAGAGAAGTTGAGGTTATTTCTGCAAATGTTAATTTTTTTTTTTATAATTTTTTGTAAAGGATTAGTGGAGAAGCATGGGATGCAGAGTTTTAGTAAGTATCCTTTGTGTTATATTTTTAAAATCCTCGAGAGTTTGTTTGTTTAAATCTGTAAAGTTTATTTGGTTAGTGGCGATGTTTATTTAACGTAATTGTTTTGTCCGTAAAAGGATGAACTTTGTATTTAAGCTTTTGGAAATTTTAATTTATGGTTGTTTGCTTTTATTTTGTATTTGATTTTCTATTTTTGTCCCTTTTCTCCTCTTTTTTTTTCTTTGGATAAAAAATGGCGTGCGAAGAATTTTAAAAAATTGTAATTTATTTTGAGTCATATTTATACTTGATATGTCATTAAAAAATTATCTTGATCGGACATGAATTTTGAAGCAAAATTATGTTTGAAATTTCAAATTTTAAATCTAGGATCATTTGAATTTTGATTTCAACAAATTTACCGTAATGTCTTTAAAAGTCAAACACAACGACATCAAATCGACTCAATTCGAGCCTAAATGGGTCGAAATCAAATACTCTAAGTACATTTGGAAGGTTCGAATCATAATTTGGATTACCAAATGGTTTACAAACATGATATGTTTATAGTCGAATCGAGCGGCTCGACAAGATGAATCCAACAAGCCCATGTTTGTCAAATTTTGATATCATTAAGATATTCCATTGAATATTCTAGCAAATGGTCTACAATCAAGGGAATCAATATCGATCGTTCATTCTTTTTTTTTTTTTTTTGATAATTGCAGAAATTGCATTAATGGGAAAAAAAATTATTGCAAACTAAATGCAACTCTCAAATTCCTCCTTCAATAAAAGAAATAAGGAAGAAGAAAAATCAGAGGAACTAATGGAATCAAAACAAAAACTGTTTTGTAAAGCAATAGAAGCGCATAAATCTGCAACTTTATTACAATTCCTAGAGGTATGATTAAAGATGACCTTATTGAAGTCGTGGAGGAAAGAAATCTTCTCAGAAATCCAGTTTTTCTTGGAATTCGTCATTGAATCTTGTAAAAATTTGAAGACATTGTAGTTATCACCTTCAATTATTAGCCCTTTGTAATCAAACATCTAACCTTTGATAAAGTCTTTTAAGGAAAGAACAGCTTCAAGCTCTAGTTGGTTGATGTCCCAATGTATTTTCTGTTTACCAAAGGCAATTAACATTCTGCCCTTATAATCCCGAGCAACACCTCCAACACTAGCTAGATTTGAGTCTAGTAAAGATGCGTCCGCATTAATTTTGATCCATTCTAGAGGTGGGGGATGCCATGTAGTTTCAAACTCACGGAGGAGAGGAGCATCCCAGTTGACTAGCAAAGGATAGTTACTTGTAGCAGAAAACAGAGTGGAAGCAGCTGCCACCGAAACATGTAAACAGTTTTTGCCATGCTTGACTTCATTTCTACAATTCCAGGAGATGAAAACTGCAGTGCAATAGATCTTAACAATATTCACATTAGAGCTGGCAAGGTTACGGAGTTGATGAAGGCAATCATCAAGAGAGCTAAAGGTTGGAATACAGAACCCCCAAGATCTCAGCATGTTCAAAATTTCAATGAGAAATTTACAGTGGACTACAATATGAGATCCATTTTCTATTTCAGGACAACCACGAGCACACTTATCACATTTGCTGAGATTTCTAAATTTTAAGAATTCATTAGTAGGGATGGAAAACCTACTAAGTCTCCACCAAAAAAGCTCAACTCTTGGCTTTAGCTTCAGCTTCCACAACCACTTAGCAAAACCAGCATCATCAAAAAAGTTCTGAAATTTAATATATTCAGAATAAGCTAATGAAGAAATGGATTTACCAGAAAGTTGATAAAGCAACTCCATGTTGTCTTCTTCCCCTTCATTTATAACACAATGGTGTGTTATAAGTTCGATCATGCTGCTATTAAAAAACCAAGAAAGCTCAATCAGATTCCAGTTTCCATCTTCAGTGATAAAGTTTTGCAGCATCTGATTTTCTAGTCCATTACAATCGGCTAGCATTGGCCATTTGTTGAAACATTTGTCAAGTAACCAAATGTTCTCCATGACATTAATATTTGCCCCATTAACGATCTTCCATTTGACAATTAGATTGAGAGAGAGCATTCCATTAAGGATTATTGCCCGAGCAGCAGAGTGTCCATAGGTTGGTTTGTTGCCATGAATGACAGAGCCATATTTAGCTGACATACATTTATATAAAAGTGAGGAAGGATTATTAAAAAGCCTCCAAGCAAGTCTTGCACGTAGAGGTCCAACTTTCTTTACAGCTGAATATATACCCAAACCACCATAAGCTCTAGGAGTGCAAAGATTCTCCCAAGCTATGTAATGAAGACTCTTATGTCCTTGAATGTGATGCCATATGAAATCTCTACAAATTCGATCAAGTTCGAGAAGAATACTCTTGGGGATTAAAGAATGAGTAGAAATAAAGGTTGGAAGTGATGATAAAGAAGTCTTTACTAAAACAATTCTTTCAGCCATTGAAAGAAATTTAGCACCCCAAGAATTAAGCTTGTCAAGTGCATGATCAATCACAAATTGGAAATCTTGTTTGGTTAAAGTTCTGAGTGCAATTTTGGTTCTTAGATAATGAAGTTCATTCACCACCTTAAATCCAAATTTGTTGCCCAGTTTCCATTTTAAATCATCTCTTACAAATTTTCCAAAGAAAATTTGTGATTTGGAATGATTCAAGCTCTGTCCAGTCCAGCTGCAGTAAACTTTTATTAACTTCATCATAGCTTTCAAATGGGAGGAGGAGGCATTACCAAACAAGAGCACATCGTCAGCGTAAAGTAAATGAGTGATTTTAGGCGCTTTTGGAGTTATTTGAATGCCTAAAAGAGAACCTCTTTGTTTGATAATACTTGAAAGAAGTTGAGAGCACATAATAAATAGATAAGGTGACAAATGACATCCTTGTCTAAAACCATTTTTTGCATCAATCCAACTAGTGGCTTTGCCATTTAAAAGAATGGAAAATCTAACTTTAGTTACACATTCCATGATGAGTGATGAATATTTCTCCGGGAACCCGAACCAATCAAGAACATGTGCCAAGGTTTTCCAACACATGCTGTCAAAAGCTTGAGCCATATCAAGTTTAACAGCCATAAGACCTTTCTTATTTTTTGAAATTTTGAACTTGTTGAAAATTTCAAGAGCAAGAAGACAATGATTTGACATGGATCTACCTGGAATGAAGGCAACCTGCTCCTCTGAAATTATCTTGGAAATACAGCACTTCAACCTGTTAACAATCATAGTTGAGGCAATTTTGTATATAGTCTGACATAAACTGATTGGATGAAAATTAGAAGGTAAGATAGGTGAAGTGATCTTGGGAATGAGAACAACCAAAGTGTCTTTCCAAGCACCATTCATTCGGCCAGTTGTAAAAAACTTGTTTATAGCATTCCAAGCAACTTCTTTTATGATTTCCCAGTAAAATTTAAATAAAGAAGCTGTAGAACCATCAATTCCAGGGGATTTATTAGATCCTTGCTGAAAAACTGCAGTGTAGAACTCAGATTGAGTGAATTCCGCCGCCAAAAAAGTTCTGTCATCCTCATTTAAAATCTGATTCGGTTCAGCATAAGGTTAGTCAAGAAAATTGCAATGCCGAAGTTTCCACTTATCTTCAAAGTATTTTAAGAAGATTTTCTCAATTTCTTCAATATCATCCACCAACTTGTTATCGTCGTCTTTAATTTGTCTAATTAGATTACCATTTCTTTTGGTTGTAGCATGGGCATGAAAAAATCGAGTATTAGAATCCCCCTCTTCATTCCATGTGGTCTTGGCTCTTTGATTCCACCATGTAGATATTCTAAGCAAAGTGACGTTAAGCTCACGCACCTTACTTCTCAAAAGAGCAAGATTTTCTGAACTTAGACCACCTTCCTCTTCTTGTTGTTACAGACTAAGAATGTCACTTTTTAATTCTTCTTTTATTTGGTTCAAGTTTTTGCAGGTATTCTTATTCCAGAAGAAGAGAGCTTTCAAGGATCTCTTAATCTTTCTATTAAGGATATCAGCTTCATCCCCATAATCATTCTTACCCCGGGCCTTTGCAACAATATTTTTTTGTGGCTGGATAAGATTTCCAGGTGTCTTCAAATCTGAAAAATTTGGTTGAATCCCGCGTCGAATTATCAATATAAAAAGCAATGGGGCAGTGATCTGAAGAGATCCTCGCAAGGTGCCGGATGGAAGCAGACGGGACAAGCTGAAGAGCACAGGAATTCAGCAAACAACGGTCTAAGCGTTCCCAAATCCTGGCAGCCCCTTGCTTATTATTACAGCATGTAAATTTAGGACCAATCACACCAAGATCATGAAGATCATGCTTGGCCATGAAGAGCTTCATCTCCTTAGTTCCATTAGACATATAGAAACGTTTGCCTCCTCTTTTATCTTCTTTAGAAAGAAGACAATTAAAATCACCACCTACTAAGGTAGGAGTATCTTCAGTCATAAAATCTTCCAAACAGCTCCAAAGCTCCCTTTTGCCTTGATGATTTTTATGTCCATATACCATTGCCACATTCCAAATGCCCTTGTTAGGAGTTTTCAAAGAACCTAGAATAAGTTGAGGAGAATGAGTAATGACTGTAAAATCAGCCAAGCAGCTTTTCCACAAAATCAAAATACCTCCAGCAATACCATCCGCTGGGTGGTGAAAAAAATTCCAATCTGCACCGATAATTCTATTTACATCTGCTCTAGCAATCGAGGCCAATTTAGTCTCAGCAAGACCAATTAAAAAAACAGAGTTGTCTTTAACAACTTCTTTTAAGTAGAGAGATGACTCCTTTTTCTTGATCCCTCTACAATTCCAAAATATTAGAGAAGACATTTATTTAACAGAAGGGGAAAAGTCCCCGCCTTTTTTCTTGCCTTTACCTTCGGCTTTCCTTTTTCTGGACCATGGTTCAATCGGACCCAAAAATTTCAATTGAGGCTTGATTTTGGATTTAGTTGAGACAGGAATCTCTGGGAAAGTGTGATCAGAATCAGGTTTCTCAGTTTGTTTTGAAGAATCTTCTTGAGCTTGGGATACAGAAGCTGAACTGCAAGCTTTGATTTCGAAATGATCTTCAACAGGAGTAACAAGTGTCTCAGTAGCATCCCCTGATTTAGCATTGGCTAAATCTTTATCACCTTCATTCATCTCAATCGTGGCATTTTCATTAAAAGATTTT